ACCCATCCACTACCTGCATTTGCTCTCGTAGCAAGCGCTCAAACCCAAAGTTTAAGTACCGCTTTAGCTCTCAGAAAGATCACTGAAGCGCCTGACCGCGATGGTGGTGGCCAGGTCCAAAGACGAAGCGAACGTGAGGTGTGGTCATGGCTTTGGAATAGCACATGGCAGTGAGGCAAAATCTACTCCAAACGCCACTTTTCCGATCGCATCCAATGTCGCCCTTTGAATCAAATCCTGTCATCGTGGACAAGGCAAACACATGTCAAGTCAGTTTGGTCTTGCCCAAATTAATCATCGGCATCCGAGACTTTCTTTTCTAATTTTTTCCAGGAGTGCAAAATGTTTGTGCTCATCATATTTTTCCGTCGAGCTCAACCCAAAGGCTATCTTCGGTTCTGCGGAGGTTGGCGATGGGCAGCTCAGACCAGGAACCTCCTTCGACGACATAAATGGTATGACTTGGATGTCCATGGTGGTGACTTTTTCAGCTACTTCAGCAAGTAGCCGAGCGATTGTACAAGTTTTCTTCTTCATTACAGTGAGCAGTTAGTGGCTGAAGTAGCTGAAAAATGCACCACGTGGACATCCAAGTCATACCACTTATATCGTCAAAGTAGGTTCCTGGTCTGAGCTGCCAATCACCAACCTCCGCAGAACCGACGACAGCCTTTAGGTAGAGGTCAACGAAGAAAAGGGATGAGCACAAACATTTCGCACTCCTCGAACAATTTTGAAAAGACAGTCTCGGATGCGGATGATTACTTTGGGCAACACCAAACTGACTTGACCTGTGTTTGCCTTGTCGACGATGACAGGATTTGATTCAAAGGATGACATTCGATGCGATAGGAAAAGTGGCGTTTGGATTAGACTCTGACTGTCATCCATGTGCTCTTCCAAAGCCATAGCCACACATTGCGTTCGCTTTGTCTTTGGACTTTGCCACCACCATCGCGGTCAAGCGCTTCAGTGATAAATTCTGGGAGGTCAAGCGGTACATGAACATAGGTACACAGCGAGCAAATGCAGGTAGTGAATGGGTTTACCTTCAGCCTCATTGCTGACAGAAAAACTGAGCTCAAGCATCTTCATGGGCAAGTCTACGATCTGGCTCAAGCTTACCTGGCTCACGCCGAAGGAGTATGTTTCACTTATCTCACATCTTGCTCTCTGAATTGCTGCAGCTGGTGGCACCAGCGTTGACTTAGGTAGACTCGTCAGTCACAAGTGAATAGATCGTGCTACTCGTGCAATGGATGATAATCTGAGATATAGATTCGAGCTCAGTTGTTGTGGTCATGCCTGCAGACCCTGTATGCGAGTGATCTCGTTTCCAAATTTCCTAACCTCACGATGAGAGACGACCACGCGGACAACCCCAAGACGGACGAGTAACTGCGGCATATCGTCATCAACTTGGTAATCGCCAGTCGGGATGCTATTGGGGTGAGACTCACGTGGCTTGTCTACGAGTTGAGTATGCACTCGGATGCGTCGCACAGACTGTACTTAGAGCTCCGAGACTATGAGAGCCGGAGACATTTCGAATGTCAATGTTCGGTGGAGAAGTATTGGGATGTCGACCTGCAAGACGAAGACTACGTTTGCATGATAGACACACGAATTCATAAATTCGTGTGTCTATCATGTCCAGAGACTCGGGGTGATCAGCGCAGCAAATTTATGAATTCGCTGCGCTGATCACCCCGAGTCTCTGGACGAGCTGCTTCTCTTGCAAGCTTGCCTTCAGGAGAGTCTTCGGCCTCATCCGGCGGTGCCTCTTGTATATCTCATAAGCCACATCTTCCTTCATCGTTGGTTTTGAAACGTGATTGTCATCTTCATCTTTGTAGACCTCGAGTTACGTGGGCCTACGTCTAGCCACTATGATCTAAGAGATCTGGATTTCAGGGCTCTTAGAATCATGGTGGCAACATCATAACATGGCTAGACATGGGCCCACGCAAGGAGGAGACTCTACCTTTCAACAGATTATATGGTGAGCAATTGCCACGATATGAATCTGATTCATATAGATAGGTAAGGTGTTGTAACCAGCGATGCTTGCCCCTTGTGCAGGACCCCAGGGACATAGAAGAAGAAGACACACTTCCAGCAGGACAAGCCTTCATAAGTAGCACGAAAGGTAACGCAGTCTTTATTGCACCATATTCTATGGCTCTAATGACGACTATCTGGGGTCCGGATGCTGCACAGTTCAACCCAGGTCGTTGGCTGCAGAGAGGCAAACTCGAGCCAGCATCTGACAGCAAGCTCGTGACGTTCCAGGTGGTTTACCTGATTTTTATCACCAGATTTGAACGGCATACTATTCAGTTTGAGTTATGGTAGGGAGTCAGAGACTGCTCACCTTCAGCGTCAGAGATTGCTGGCTGGACAAGGTCTAGGCTAGAATCATCCTTTCTCGCTATTGGTTTAGTCCGTTCGAGCTAGAAAATGTAAAATTATGCTAGACCTGAAGAACTTTGTGATATATGTGCAAGCGGGTCTTTATACTGGCGCTGTGAAAGATTTGACTTACCAGAGTTCAAGGTGGTTCTTGTATAGTTTTTTGAATTTATCCGCGCGTGTCCCTTCAATCCTCCTCTTAAATATCGTATGAAATCCACCTTAGTGATGGAGAGCGGCCTTCAAATATATCCTCGTTTGAAGGACAAAGTGGGAGCTACTATTTAGTAGCGTTATTAGTTGTGGAAAAACACCTGTTTGTTTCAGTTTAGATGGCTGTGAAGGACCAAATGATAGCTACACTGCCACAATGAAAAATGTATCGGATTTTTTTGTGTTTCATGGTGGGGTGAGCTTAAACGAATATCACTATTCCGTATTGGTTGTTCATCAATTTTGGGTCGCACTTTCACTATCTCAAGCATACTTCCATCCGGAAGTTCACATCTTGCACACTTCGTGTGTAACCACTATGATCTTTCACTGTGTACGTAAACGGCCTGCATGTCAATATAAGCGAAGCCACTGATGAGGAGTATGCTAATTAGGATTCAACACTGTCTTCATAGAATGGACGGCCGCAAGAAGGTTCTTTTCCTTCGTACTATAGACCTTCGTGGTAGACATGCATGTGCACATGATAATCATGAACGGAATCTGGGCAAGTAAAGCGCATGACCGCATTAAAGACTTGTGTTTTTTTTTTAATAAACACGCTTGGACTTAATGTCAATCAAGTGAATATTTGTGTATGACTTTTCTCTATGAGTTATATTGTAGATACTGCACATTTAACCTTGTCATGAAAGTGCTTCTATTAACTCTCTCCTCATCATCATTTAGATCCCACTTCATCATCCAGATCTCTTTTATATGTTGTGAAGCAAAGACCATATTGCGAAGAGATGATTTCGGGATATGTACACATAGACTCCAGAATTCAGCTCTCTGCAACCAAGTCAACTTTTAGATCCTCCATTAGGACAGAGTATTTGGTGGTTGATCTTCCACATACTCGAGATCTTGTGTAGAGATAAAAATCGCAACAGATACACGGAGTTTTAAAAAGACGTGACATGTTCAGACACAATTAGTGATGAGCACAAAATTAATAATGACGTACTCAAGGTCATAGATTAGTAGTCACTGCCTGACCACATATCTCGCCTAGACCGATGTCACCAGCTAACTTGACGTCAAATAAAAGGATTCTCAGAACTAACCAGCTGATGAAAGCAGTGGATTTATTGATATGCTTGTTCTATTGTAGTTTACATCGAAGTTTCGTGAAGCTCATAACCATTTTATCATGTTTTTGTTTTTTTTTTAAATAGCTGAATTTAAAATTCATGGACATCCAGCTTGCGTTTTTTATCTTTCACTACAATCGATGATGCAGTTTGAACTTGTTACAGGACATTACTATTTAAAAACAACTAAAATTGATGATTTGTTAAAAAAATTACGCTGCATTGCATCATAAAATATTCGAGACCACATATATTGAAAATCAAATTCAAACAGATGGTAACTTACTTCAATCATTTGATTGTTATTGTATAAAATATGTTACTTTTGAAATTTTTTTTTCTCAAATACATCTGTTATGATTTTTCTCCAGCACATCATGAATGTCATAAAATTATTTTCATCTCCAATGATCAGAGTATAGCTGCATAATATTGCACAAAACCTTAAAAAATACTTTCACATCATAATGTCAATAAACATAAAGATAAAGATATCCATCAGAGAAAAAACATTTTTTTATCAACTCATCTTCAATATTAATCTTACGTCCGAACTTCCAAATTTGTTCACCAAGTTTGCGCTATTTGTAATTATTGTTTTCAAAATTCAATCCTTTATCAGTAACAAAAATAAATCTAGATGAACTTTATCATAAAGTCATTTGAGTAGTAGATATGTTTACATTGAATAAAATTTTCTTGCCTGAACAAATCAAACTATTTGCAAAAATCAAAATTATATATGATATTCGTGGATAGATCGGTGCTTAATAGCTAAAGTAAATTTGTTGTAAGAAAGCTTATGCAATGGCTTGGCAATCAGAAGGTATCATCTATTATCATTATTTATATGTATCATGAAATTAATGTTCAGTTCCATAATATTAATGTTCTTATTGTACCTCAGGACTCGTTCAAATTTATTGTGAAGCGATTCACAAAAAGGTTTACGAAATTGGACCAAGAGCTGGTATTTATGTGTCTTAAAAAGATTTAAGATTTCTGGAATGAATTGATGGACAATTGAGAAGAATCAATGTTGAAAATTAACTTTAGTCTTGGTTAATCTTAGTTAAATTCAAAATGATTAGTCACTCCAGTTAGCATGTCACTTTAAAATTTTATATGATTAGAATGTATACAACTTCCACAATATAAAAAAGCAAATCATCACAGAAAATATTGTTGCAGCAAAGAAAATACGAAGCAAAGCACACAAAAACCTTAAACTATACACTGCTGTCTGCACTATGCACGACCAGTCTGCTGTTTTGGGCGATGGACGGAAATATGAGAGAGTGCTGGCTGACACTAACCGACACGTCCGAAGCTATGACTGGCTTCTTGGAGACGACCATATTGGACTACTGCAATACCAGACCAACCACGAAGCGGAGCACTTGCGAAAATAATATGCGAGTGCTGAGAAATCGACGGTAGTGTTGACTACCGGTATCGTGAGTACCTCTCTCACAAGTGTTCGGCCACTCAGTAGTCTTGGGCTACTCTTCAACACTTGGAAATTGTATTTCCACGAGTGCTCGGCTACCTGGTTGGTCCTGGCTTTTGTCGAAAATGCTCGATCTCCGAGAATTCAATTCTGTCCGAGCTGAGGCCCAAGTGTTCGGGCTGGCACTCAATAATCCCCTCTACTACTGTACTCAACACTTGGAATATTTTATCCCACAGTGCTTGGCTACCTGATTTGTCTGGTCCCGTCACTGGTCCAGTATGCTCGTGTCTAAGAAGTCAATAAGAGCTTCAGGCCGAAGTGGGTGAATTGGTGTATATCCTGGCTGAGGTGAGTTGACCCTTTGCACCACTCTAAAATTCTAAATTTTCTCCCATCTTCTTGGTGGGGTGACTCTCTAAGCCGAAATAACTTTTGTTAGAAACAAGAATGCAGAAGAATTAATAACCTGTAATCCTTGAATCATTGAGTTAATCTGACTGTTCTACAACTTTGCATTTAATTTCGTTATTAATTGAAGTACTGATACAAGTAAAGAAATATACATTTTTTGCAAGCCATTCGGCATTACTTAACAATGTTATGTATTGGTACCTGTTTTCGGTATGGAAATTATAGAAAAGATTTTATTGGAGTAAGGTCATATTTTGAAAGAATTGGAAATTTGGAATTTACTTACGACTTGGTCTAACTAAGGCGGTGAATTGCAGGTATTGTAATAATCACAAGTATCGGACTGATCTTGTGACGCAACAAAGTAACGATTGATTCCGCGGTCTAAAATGCAGGTCTCACCTTTGAAAAACGTTCTATAATTCTACTATCCAGGTGTCAATCTTGATTCACTTTTTACATATACGCTCAGTAGACAAAGTCAATACCACAGTGTACTTATCATCTTCCGCGCAGGTTGAACAATTGTGTTTATTTTTGTAATTACGAACTATATCCTAACTATGCTACTCTTGATCAAGAATTGACAGATAACAAGATAATAGGCTCCAGTCACCATCCTCACTCGCTACCTCTGCTGAGCTATATGTCGACATGCAACCGATTCTGACAGTGTCCTTCAACTGTTAAAATAGCGATCTGTAACGATTAAACGAATCCGTGGTCTTCGAATTTGACCACTGACTGTCACGAGCTATATCCTAACTATACTACTCTTGATTAAGAATTGGCAGATAACAAGATAATAGGCTCCAGTCACCATCCTCACTCGCTACGTCTGTTGAGCTATTTGTCGACATGCAACCGATTCTGACAGTGTCCTTCAACTGTTGAAATAGCGATCTGTAATGTTTTAGCGAATCCGTGGTCTTCGAATTTGACTACTGACAGCTGCCAGAACATTCACTGTTCTGTGATCTTTATCCTCTGAACTTGGTACATTAAAATCCTCGGACGAGTTCTACTTCCTATATAACTTTGAACTCATAGCTCATTCTTCTTATATTTCTCTCTTTCCCATCAGTTCTTTCTCGAGCGATTCACTCTTGCTTGACTGGAATTCTCAGGCTGGACTTAGTGGAGTATTGAGAAGGGCTTGCTTCTCCTTCGTCATTGCCACTCTCCAACGAAATCAGGAGGTACTTTTTTTGCTTTTCCTTGTTCATCTTATGACTTTTGCTTGTCCAGTGGTCCTTCCATCCTATCTTGATATGTCCGAACTGAACCTGACCTGTGCGTTGATTGTCGACAGTGGAAATTAAAAATGGCTGTTCCCTTCCTAAGAGTGGTCACGCTACTTTTCTTGTATTCGGGGCTTTGTTTCGCGCGCACACTTTCCGGAGCGAACAAAGCTGATTCCAAAGTTGAAAATCATGTGGAGGTGACTCCTCTTAGACATGGTTTAGCAGAATTGCTGTTCGCTGAACAAGAAATCAGGCAGGACTCAAACTTTGATTGTGGACAAGATCATCTCGAGCCTCATACTGAAGATAAACCATTTCCCTGCGGCTTCAGCACTTTAAGAGAAGATCGTCCTGTACTTCTCAGTGGGATGGAAGCAGCAGATAAGACCAAGGGTTATCGGAAGGATCACAAAGAAGTCCCAAATCTTGGTCGCAACTTGTTCAGAGAAAGCAAGCTTGAAATTCTTCAAAGGCTCCCACGAAACACTCCAACTCGGCACTCCTGCCCGAATAGAGGAACGAGTGACGGGCCAGGTCCTCTCTGAAAATATGTTCTCGACAAATTGTAGCTTTGTCATCCAAGGCATTGTATTGCAAAGTATTATGATCCTGGCTGAGAACTTCCCCATCTGAGACTTAAGGTAGGATGTACGCAAGCTATCCTGTACGTACTTTGTGCATCGAATATAGACCAAATTATCAAATTCTTATCAAATTTTGCAATTTCGAAGAGTTTTAGATTTTTACAGTATGCAAACCAAAAACACGCTTTTATGAAACTAAAATAATTGATTTTTTAAGAACTAATTTAATATAAATATATATGGATAACACTTGATTTATTTTTCCATTTGATTTTAATAGGTATTATTATTATGTAAATACAGAGTTATAATCAATTAAGTGAAGGAGTAAAGTGCTTTGAATAGGAATATTTAATCCGGATAATCTTAAACATCAAAATCAAATATGTATTTTATCATATATTATCAAATTCTCAAGATTATGAAAGATTCAAATGAAAAAATCCATTTTAAGTTTACCCCAATGTATCAAGTTTCAAATTCTAGTTCTTCGCAAATTCTCACAACATACAATAATTGGTTTATATTTTTCCTTGATAAATAGATTCATGCAATAATTTTTGATTAATCTGATGAAGTTCTTACGAACATATGACATATCTGATCTTTCCATTCAGTTCTTCTATGCAGTAGAAAAGAATTATTTTCCTGCTGTAACGATAAAATCGCGACGATATTCCCATAAAAATGTCAACCTTGAGTGATCAAAGTTGCCCTGGTTGATAAAACAAAAGATTTTCATTCTTTAAGCTTTTATTCTACTCTGTAATGGCACGTGATTTCTTTCAGTTTAATCCAAGGAGATATTTGATCAAGTCAATCTTCAAAACCTAGAATACTGAAAATAATCTAGCGAACAAATTTCCGAGAATGGTTAGATGGCTAGGTCTCAGTCAAGTTCCAAAAGGTAATTTCATGGGTTGGAGAAAACGTGAAGAGCGAATCAACTGCAGCGCATGTTAGTTGATATGATGTACGTTTATCCCCAGTGGGCCATTGGAATCCTCCTCATCTCCTTCCTTCGTGATTACATGCATGATGCAACAATCATATTCAAGTTACACATATAATTTCCCAGCCATAACAGTAAGTTTTAGATGTGTACTGATAAGATTAGCTTTGATAATAATTTTGCAGCACAAATTTGGAAGAATCTCATATGGTAGTTGACCAGCCCGACTTCATCTCTGTACCATTTTTTAGTATCAGCAAGATGTAAACAAAAATTTACATTTTTTGTACAGATTTCTGCCAGTAACACAATGTTCTGATATGTGCACCTGCAGAGACTGTATTATTAATGTCAATAATTTAGTCTAGCCATTCACCATAGTATTTTCTCCAACAAATTCCATGTAATCTAGGTTATACAAAAAACACAACTTTTACTTGAAAAGATTTGGCAAAACCTAGATGTAAACATTTTCACACATATAAAATACAATGGACTTTCCCTTCCTAGCGTACGCGTGGATATTGTGTAGCCCAGAATTATATTCACGGCATATAGAACTTAGAGACAATATTCCTCAAACAGAGATCGATTGGGGAGTGACAGTGACAGCACTATCAGAATTTGAAGTGTAAGAATAGAGTATGAAGTCATCCTCGTGGAGTTTCATGGAATAAATAATGTCAATTTATATTAAGGAGCACCAAACTTCTTCTTCAAGTTCTTCATACAAAAGCTGCAAGAGAGTTCCAACATACCGTCGAACAATTTTTAATTGTAAATATTAAATCTGGTAGTCCTTTATCTTCCAAGGAATTCAATTCTGGGAAGATCCCCGGGAGGTTACAACCAACGAGCGAAAAGAATTAACGAAAATCTATATGAAATCTAACCTCTGCAAGTTCTCGAGAAGTTGTAACTTCTAAACAAGAAGACGGTGGATCTGGTCATCGCTCTCAGAAACTCTCAGAAACTGCGATGTGATTTTCTAGTGATTACTGCAGTAAAACATAAATATAATACAAAGCATGCTTCAAAGTAGAATATGCTTGAAACTGCCTTCTCAATTTGCTATTTCGCTGCCGACGGAGCCCTCAGTGAGGTTTCCTTGCATGAATTCCATCCATTTGCAGCTTAAGAAGGTATCCGCTGGACAAAGCCTGCATTCTAAAGCTCAATTGTTAACTCAACTTCATCTGTCTAGGTACTGAATGTTGCAGGGAAGGATTCCAGAAGGATAAGGATTTTACACTGCATGTTACCGATACATAAGACAAAGTCAATAACTGAAAAATTATGGAAGAAATACGGGGCGTAAGATCCAGAGCATGTTGCCAACATCCATATGAAATGGTGCCACGAGTCACCGCATGGGCTTATTTTCATCACATCCAGACTCGGGCGACACAGAAGCCCAAAGTATAATAGCTACGATACGAGCTTAATCCTCTATATTTGTAAAGAAATATGTCACAATAAGCTTCTGGATCTAGTCTCCAGAGTTCACCGTTAATCCATGAATCAGAATTTACATGTCTCAATTAATTGTTCAGAAAGGGTATATGTTTTGGCGCTCTGAGCTAAGTCCTTTCTCTGATACTTAACTGATCACGACCCCATATATCCAGGTACGTGCTTTCGATATTAGGAGAGTATATTTACGACGAGATTGAACCACTTGACAACTATTATCCAAAGTCCAAATAAATCTATAATATATTGTACGTTTGAACCAAAAGTTTCACGACAGCAATGCAAGGAAATGCACGGAACTAAATGCTGTACGAGCATTTACTTCTTGCATGAGCATCAGGTTTAATCATCTCTTAGGTTTTCGTAGAGATCAACTTCTACGTGCCTAAAAAACCGGCAGCTTCACAAGGCTAGTTCTTGTCAGTATCAACTGCGTAGAGTACACGAGCTCGTGTACTCTGATCGCATGATGTAAGATAACGGAGGTTCAATTTTCCTCATAGTCACCTCAGCAAAAAAGTTTGAGAGAAGGAGAAGCATATCGTCTCTTCGAAGATGCGCGTGGACATACCGCGAGTTGGATAAATTGTACCTCGTGGAGCCTATCTATGGGCCGAGGTTATTGTGGTTGAACTTTCGGCTAAAGATTCGGATTGTATGAATCTGGAACATTTCTCAAGCAAATAATGAGCCAGGCATGCTACCACGTACCATACTGTTCCCCCATTGTTCCGGAAAGACTCCTGGTAGCGCTCAGCGCTGGGTCAAAGCTCTCGATAAGTTGAAGATAACCAAATCCACGGCACAAAGCCTGGACTATATCGCCCCACTGCAGATGAATGTGTGCGTACTATGCACTGCATGTTGCAAGATAGTGCTGCCTGAGGATCCTGGGCCGATAATCTCGGAAGGTCTGTAGCGAAGTCTATTCGTTCATAGCTCCGGATTATGGAATCTCAGTAGCATGCCTCCGAGATCAATGCACAACATAAGCGCCTGGCCGACCGAGCCGATCGTGAGCACTCCCGTGGCGCTGGTATTGGCTCAGAGTGAGACAGAGAGACAGACCGACAAAGACTCAGCCTCTTCCCAATCAGTATAAGAGCACACGCAGATGCACCTGCCAGCAGAACACAGCTGCCTCCGGTTCGTTTCTAAGTTCTCTCTTCGTACTCGTCTGGCTCGATCTGTTACGTAAGTTCTTTGACATATAGCGAGCGTTGACATGAAATTGAGCTTGGAAACCTTATCAAGTTTATGATGATTTATGATGTGAGGCCCTCACTCGCTGACAAAACCTTTTGCTCTTGAATATTCCAGAAAATGGACAGTATCAGAATCATGATGGCCCGTGATCTGCTAAAGTTCAAGTTCCTGGTGCTGCTCATATGTGCATCCGCATCCATCAATGCTGCACCTGTATACACCAACACCAAATGGACGGACTCACATGCGACATTCTACGGTGGAAATAATGCTCAAGGAACAATGGGTGCGTTCTAGCTTCCTCACATTAACACCATTAGCATGAGTGCTGATTTGCAAATATTTGAACCCCTATAACTCTGCATGTCATCCTGATTATGCGCAACAAACTCAATATGCTCGGAAATTCTTCTCGCCAAATACTTGGGGACTGATTTTGGAAAGTCATAGTAAGCTTTCATTCTTGATGGTTGAATTTGACGTTTTGTATTTCTTCTATCTTCAGGAGGCGCATGCGGATATGGAAACATGTATTCCAGAGGTTATGGTCTAGAGACCACGGCCTTGAGCTCAACTCTCTTCAACAAGGGTCTAACTTGTGGAGCCTGCTTTGAAATCAAGTGCAAGGTGGCCGACACCAGATGGTGCTATGCAAATGCTGGATCTATCAAGGTTACTGCGACAAACCTCTGCCCTGCAAATCCCGCTAGACCCACCAACAATGGCGGATGGTGCAACCCGCCCAGGACTCACTTCGATCTGTCGTACCCGATGTTCACTCGCCTGGCCAAAGCAGTGGGAGGCATCATCCCCGTCCAGTTTCGAAGGTGATCATCTTCTCAATGAGTTTGCATTGCATCGAACTGTAATCCTACATCGGTAGTGCGATCCGATCCGATTATGTTTCTATTTTCTTTCGACAGTGGCAACATAGGACTCATTAGTTGCAACCTGGCTGCATAAATTTGAAATCTGCGCCAGAAATAAATGGGTAGCCATTTCTTCACAAATGTGTAGCAATATTCAAACGTCTGACATAGCGGTTGTTGGTGCAGAGTACCATGTGTGAAGGTTGGCGGAATTCGTTTTGTTATGAACGGCAATCCGTGGTTCAACCTCGTGCTCGTTTACAATGTGGCCGGAGCTGGAAATGTGGTGAACATGCAGATGAAAGGTTCCAAAACCAACTGGTTCACGATGAAGCAGAATTGGGGACAGAACTGGGAACTCAAGCAGAAGCTGAAGGGACAGTCCATATCGTTCCGGGTGACGCTTGGCAATGGAAAAGTGATGATTGCCAACAACGTGGCCCCAGCAAACTGGAACTTCCAACAAACTTTTGAATCCGATAACAACTTTTAGGCTTCTTCGGAAACTGCGGCCAGCTGAATGTCTGTCATAGCTCACAGACCAGGCGCATCCAGCACAGAATCTCAGCTGACTAGAAACGGCCGCTGGAAGCTCGCCAATTTTAATGCAGGTGATTGCCCAGCTCGTGCTGGGCAATCTTCGATGGTGACTAATGATAAACGGGGGAGGCGTGTAGATATGAAGTGCGCCCACCGTTGGTCGAGCAAACTTGACTGGATGGCTCGAATCCAACAGGCGTCTCAAAACAGAAAAGAAAGTACTTCACCAGTAAGATCATCAGGCGTGTATTCTCATGTTTCAGATCCTTGTACCACAAGAATCAAGCACATTTTGTGCAATGTAAGATACTTCAGCTCGAAACAGAGAGCTGGAGGTAAACGTGGAGGAGGTGAGATCATCGAAACCACCCGCCACGACAATGTGAGGTATAAATCATCACGATCAAAAGAAGCAAACAGATTTACCCTGTGGTCGTGACCCTGCAGCTGGAGTGCCACTGTGATGCTCTTTCACGCTCAATGTGTGGCGCATGTTCTCCTGAAGTTCTCCACCACAATGCAAACGATGTATATGATGTATATTAGGCTGATAGCTCGAGGTGTAGGCAGATGAAGCCCACCCGCTTGACGTTGTAACTTTGGTGTTCGATGAAGCTACTGATTGTGAACAAACTGTGAACTTGCAAGCTGAGATGCAGGCAATCTGATGCCCATCCGCTGAAATGAAGTTTACAGTTAGATCTAGAGACAGACAGTCATATAGTTGCTGAGTTTTGAGCAGAGTTGCCAACCGGCTCTATAATTAGTACAGAATAATGGACGTGGACGTTTTTGTTCATGCAAGAAATGTCTTCATTTCTTATCCGTGATGCTTTCGCTGGAAAGAGTCACGTCTATCTTTCAAAGCTATGATGAAGTACAGGCTTGAGGATCTAAATGCGAACACTGGTGTAGCAAGCATCATTAATATCGCCTAGCTAGCTGTGAGTCTTACTTCTTAATCAATGAACTTGAAATAACTTATCCAAGTCATGAGGTTTTTAAAGTATTTTTCAGCCTGGTATAAATTGCAACATTTACAAGATGTGTAGGGTAACACATCCTTGTTGTACATATTTTTGTAATCAGGTCAGGGCTTATCTAAGGGACACGGATATGCTCTTACCGTTCTTGTATATGGATGTCAAGCATACTCAGCATATTGGATTCTTCATTTTCAAGCCCAAGCGAGTTGCGCATACAAGGCTACGATATGACTTCATCATAACCACCAGCTACGATAATGTGGGCAGTAAAGATTCACGCATCTTCCCATATTGATAAATCTAAATTGTGCTTAAAATAAGGCATCGGTGAGCAAACATTTGTAGACTTGTGCCAAAATTTATGCATAATTTTATTCCTCAGATGCCTAGCAGGATTCTGTTTTAAATAATTCTCTGAAGATATCATGACATATAGAGGAAGATTCTGCAAACAAACACAACGTAATGTCATAGTCACAAATGAAAGCAAATCCTACTTTGTAAGAGAAAAATAAATATCACTTGTACAACTTGTCGAAACAGCTTGGGAATCTGACAAGGTGGATTGCATGTTTCTCATATAGTTAGGAGATCCGTTCACGCCTGAATTCCCAGAAGTCGGCCTTCCGTGACACAAGGTAACCGCGTATAGTCCACGAAAAGAGATCTTTCATAATTCAAAGCAAAACACGGTAGATAAAAAAGGAATGACGGAAAGGTAATCGACAGGGACAATATTTTGTGCATCGAATATAGACCATATATTGACGTTGTGTCTTTTTATGCACTTCATCCAATATAGGATATCAAGAAGTGCTCAACTGAAATATTCCCACTCAAATCTTTCTGGCTCCCCAATTCGCACAACAGAGCAAGGATCCATCTGTTGCACTAGTTATATCCATTACTACTTTGTACTAGCACTGGTTGCTGTTTTCAGGGATTTTGAGAGTACATTTCATATGGTAGTCGTTCTGTATCTTGAATGTAAACATTCAGGTAAGATATCACGAATAATAATATTATTTTTCGTGGGGAAAAAAATACATTTGGTTGCAAATGTAGTAATTTGACAGTAGTTAGGCGATGGTAGCTTTCAAGATCAGATCCCACTATTTATTTCTGAATGAGAATCTAATAGTCTACATGAGCTTCTACGTTTGAACCCTCATGGGTTGATGTATGTTGATGTGGGTTTTGAAAAAATATTCACAAGGCTCAGCACTTTACTGATTCCATGAGGATAGGCGCCTAAAAACCAAGAGGAAAAGTATAATACAACTTAGTACCATCAAATTATACTACACTCTTTACCTCGATAAAAGCTTTATATTGTGAAATTGAAATTGGAGACGCATGAAGAATTCCTAGCAGCTTACAGAAATTGACTGCATTTTCTTGTTCAATGTAACTGAGGATTCAACATGGAAATTTTTCCCGCTCTGAAAACGCCAACTCGATACATAGCGAACCAAGTCGTCATAATACCACAAGTTTGAATGGTAAGATAGAACCTTGTAGTACCGGATAATATCCTAGGTTAAAGGGCGAGCGGTGTGTGATAAGAAAAGGATGCGTCATGTCTAAAGCAACATATAATTAGACATGGTGGGCCCTAGAGACAGCAGTCTCCAAGTGGATCGTTGGACAGTTTGAGAGGTGGAATGAGCTAGGCCATGTTGAAACAATATCTGCTTTCGTGGGCTTTGTGAGGGCAAAGCACCATGAGGATGAAGAGGCTGGCCCAATGGATAGTAGTTTGTAGGGTGGCATCTCTTTGATTGCTTTATATTCAATTTCTTTACATTGAAAATATTCAACGTTGAAAAATACTTAAGGATTGAAGGCACCTGAGGACTTAACATTTAGGACAGCGTTAAACCTTATTCAGCGCGGAAATAATTTTCAATGTTTTTCAACGCTCATGGTATGAACATACATGGCCACTTGGAGATATCGCCTTAAATTTGACCAGAAGATGAAATAGATTAGCCAGTGACAAACTAACGTAAAAAGCAAGTGAGTTTGTTGGAATCGGATCTTCTTCTTACGAAATTTTGTCACTTGCTGATCTATATCATCTTCCACTCAAATATTTGCAATTCTACTGGAAATAGGTCGTGATGACAGATCAATCGAGAAACAGATGTACAATCCGATCAGGTCAAGACCTCTATAGTCAAGATGTACACTCTTGATTACAGAGGTCTCTTTTATATGTTGTGGAGCAAAGACCATAATGCGAAGAGATGACTTCGGGAATATGTACCCATAGACTCCAGAATTCAGCTGTCCGCAACCAAGGCAACTTTTAAACCCTCCAATGCGACCGAGTATTTGGTGGTTGATCTTCCACATACTCGAGATCTTGTGTAGAGATCAACAACGCAACAGATACGCAGAGTTCTAAAAAGATATGACATCTTCGGGCACAATTAATGAAGAGCACAAAATTAATCATGAAGTACTCAAGGTCATATATCAATACTCACTGCCTGACCACATATCTCGCCTAGACCCAATGACAGCAGCTAACTTGACGTGAAATAAAAGTATTCAGAGAACTAGCCAGCTGAGGAAAGCAATTGATTTACTGATATGCTTGTTCTGTTCCAGTTTACATCGAGATTCATGAAGCTTTTAGCACACAACTTAACTGAACAAACATAAACACAATCGCTCAGCCTACGCCTATGATGATAAGTACACTGAAGTATTGACTTTCTCTACTGAACGTATATGTAAAAAGTGAATCCAGATTGACACCTGGATAGTAGAATTATAACGTGTTTCAAAGGTGAGACCTGCATTTTAGACCGCGGATTCAATGGTTACATTTTGCGTCACAAGATCATTCCCATGCTCGTGATTATTTCAATACCTGGAGTGCACTGCCTTAGTTAGACCAAGCCGTAACTAGAGGGGCTAAACGGTCACCCTGCGGCCCAAATTTCCAATAGACGATACTCAATAGTCCCGTCGATTTCTCAGCACTCGGCTTATTAGTTTTCCCAAGTGCTCGGCTAAGTGGTTGGTCTGGTTCCCGCAGTTGTCCAATATGCTCGTCTCTCGTCTCAGATTCGGCCGAAATTATCCAATTATAATTTATTTCGGCCGAATATTTTGGTTGTTATCATTTTCGGCAGGTAGACGATTAGCCCGCTAATTTGAGGCCCTAGACGGCTAACGGAAAGTTAGCGAGGTACGTGCCCATTCCTACGCACCGACCCCGTAAGAGACCTCGTTTCTGTTGCACATGTCCTACTGCTCATGCTACGACTTCTGGGAAAGATTCTCTGCTTCAAAAGGAATCCAAGTTACCGGAGAAGACGTTCTTCAGCGTTCCTGGACAGAGTCAAGGGGATGCCGTTCGGTCCATTTCCTACCGCAGGTCAAATGTTGACTTCGGTTAGACCTCCAAACAACGAAACTACCTCGAAGATACCCCATTGGTAAAAAGTTCGTGGCTCATCCAGGAACGTCATTGGGGCCAGATACGGATTGCGCATGCATGCTGTGCCAAGGTTCTACTAGCGGCGTTGCCGTCAAGCCTCTAAATCAAGTGAATCCGTAATCGACTGTTAGCGAAGGCCGTCCGTACGATACATTTCACTCTCGCTTATCGTCCCTGGCAAAAGTGCAATAGTCGCTAGTTCCCGTGGCGGTGGCTCGCTTTATTTACCTTTTCGAATGTAAACTTGAGTAAAATTTACATTCGAAAAGGTAAATAAAGCGTGTCCGAATCTGTCTTTGCACATTGTTTTAGAATGCGCATGACAACAACATGAACTTGGTGACTACGTTTGCTCTCAAGAGAAACACCGTTAACCTGGAAATATGTTGGCCACTTCAAGTTCTAGTACTGAGTGCATGTGATAACAATGAAATGCTTGTTTCATACAAGCGAATCATATATCACATTTTGACTTCAATCATTTTGAAAGTTTTTTTGTTTGAGAAATAGTGCATTTATCCCAATTAAATGCTAACTACAAAAACGTCTCCATTCTTTTTCATGTATGATGTTCATCCCATAACCTCATTAAATTATATGATGCTTTCAAAAGGAGATTAGTTTTGATCAAAATAACAATGGTCAAAGATTATGTGAACTATATTCATATATGATTACATCAATAAATATAGACTTTGATGATTATTCAATTTTGATCAAAATGACATGCAAATGTTCATTGTAGGGAGTTGAGTTTTGAGTCATTTGTTTAATTATCTATCATATATTTGTATCTTGTAAAAATAACAAAGTTTAAACTTATATTCATTTATATTTTTGTGATTTTGAACTTCTCAGTGAATTGTCAAATATGAATTGTCATACAAATTAAAACTTTCGTCACATATAAAAAAACATCATGCACTTTGTATATTACGATTGCAAAAATATATATCATAATCTAAACAATTCACACACTAACCAACATTACTTTTTCTATCAATTTTGATAATTTATCATGAAAAATTTGAATTCATAAATATGTGTTTATAAAAAATTTAAAATAGAGTATTTGAATAAATGTAAATGATATTTATTATATGAATTAAGTAAATGACTATTAGCTAAATTATAGCTAATGCATCTTTGATAGTTCAAAAATTTGAATGTATATATAATATACACATTACACATGAATTCCAATCCATTTTAAAACGAGTGAGGTTTATTATAATCTTTTATTACCTATAATTATACTAGAATTTACTCACGATGAAAATATAATGTTTTTTATACTAGAAAATACATAGTCGTCATGTCATAGATGCATGTGTTTGGTAGGTAGATATTAAATATGTTGATTGACAATGACACGTCAGACATACATGTATTTATGTACTAAGACTTTAGTGTGTTAGTTGATAACTATAAATCAATAATCCATATACTTGTGAATATCATCCTCCATATCATGATTTCACTAGGAGTGGGGTGGATGATGACGGTGAAATCTATGTCTTTTTTTTTGGTTAGTATCATCTATAAAAGTGACAGTAGAACTATTCTATATGTATTTGAATTTCAAGTTTATGTTTTATTGTTAAATGAATTTTTCTTTTAATTCCTAGTGATAAATTGGGAAAAAAATTGATTGTTGAATTTGACGGAAAGTTTTATATTAATTATTTGATGCAACTCTAAATTTTGAAAATCAATTCAATATCAAGACATTGAAATATAAAAAAATTAACACTAAATTCAGATAAAAATAAAAATTTGAAAAATAAATCAATTTCAAGCTTTTGAAATAGTTGATTTATATTACAAGTCATAAAAAAGAATTAAAACTTTTTAATAAAAAAAATAAACATGGAATATTTTTAAAGCAAGAGATTTATATGTAACAATCATCCTACTCATATATTTGTTTAAAAATTTCACGACATTTTTTTTAATTGAAAATTATAAAAAATATCAAAACTTTACTTAAATGATGCAAAATAAAACAATTTATCTGATAATTTAACTAGTGATTCATCATTAGATGAATCATCAAACTAACATATCTTGAACAAATACTATTTTGAATGAAATTTTCATTTTCACAATTAAAAAAATAAAATACAAAAACACATTGTCAAGGTCATTAGATTATCTGAATTTTTAATTAATTTAATTGGATTATAAAATTGAAAACTACGTAAAAAATAATTCACATAAAAAATTATTAATATATACTTTTTTATTAAAAAATATATCACTTTAAACTATTTTAATAAAAAGAAATTAAATAAATACATAAATAAAATCAACAAAAATATGAACACATACTTATATTCAATCCAATTCATGAATGGAGTATTTATATTAAACATAAAAAAAATTTATAACTAAGTATGATTATAATCTTAAAGATTTGTAAATGTAGTAATAAAATCTTATGATAATGAACAGTTTTGGATGCAAGATGTAGATTCATAGAATTTTATTTTAAAAGCGTAGATGATATATTAATTTAATTTGAAATACGTATTATTTGTAAAATTATTTGAAATTTAAAACAAAAAATGTTGATTTCGAAAAATAAAAACAGAGTTTGAGTAACGTAAAGATGATTAGAAAAATAAAAATATTTAAAATTAAATATTTTATAAATTGAATACCTATTGAAGTTTCAAACAATAGAGTCTACCTACGAGGTTTATAAGAGTAACTGCGGAATTTACTTCACTGAATTTATGTTCACAAGAAAAAAACACTATTAAAAGAAACCTTCTAATATCATGAAATTTGTTGCAAATATTGGTTTCTAGATTTGACACGTGTAAATTATCTTAATCAAACCAAAATTGAATACTGAACTCAATTGAGTGTTGAGTTTGCTAAAATTCTAAAAGAAATATATTTTATATTTTGAGTAGTTTTAAAAATAATTAGTTTAGAAGAATGTGAAGTATTTTAAGATCACTTTTTTATGCAAGTAAAATACTTCTAACATAGCACAAATATATTAGAAAATACTATCACGTAAATATTTTGTTAAATACATTTGAAATTTTTGTTATTAATAACAAACTTAATCATTTAATCAAATTCTAGATATTTGACTATATCCATAGTATGCTTGAATATTTTGAAGTTACTTCCACAAAATTTTATTGTATTGTATTTCACAACAAGTTGCCACATAAGACTTCGCATATTCTGGGCATGCTAAACCTGCAGATCCCAGCCTTTCTTTTCCCGGCGGAGTTGGAACCGTCGCCTTCCTCAAAGAATGGCCCGCTCTGAACACTCAGTGATTGTCTCTCCTAAGACTTGACATCAATCCCGGCGGCATCATCAGTCTCCATACACACAACTTGGCCACCGAGATTCTGTATGTTTTGGAGGGAGAGATGTATACGGGCTTTGTCACCAACAACTTCGGCAACGACCCGAAGCCGACCATATCTAACAAGCTGTATGCAAAGGTTGTCAAGAAGGGAGAAGCCTTCATTTTTCCCAGAGTTCTGCTACACTTCCAGCTGAACAAGGGCAAGGTGCTTGCATCGAGTCTGAACGTCCTGAACAGTCAGAATCCTGGTATTCAGCTCATGCCTTCAGCTTTGTTCGGAAGTGGCCTCGACCGTGAAATGCTGGAAAAGTCATTCTTCATGAATGCGACTCAATTTGCTGCGTTGGAAAACATTTTCGAGGAGTGATACGTCGATATACGTCGTCTTTTTTTTTTTATTCTATTATTCATTTCATCGAAGTGCGAGGAGAAATTTTAGACTTTACAGGCATTGAGACAATCTGAGTGCCAAGTGTAGGTATTCCTAGGGCTCAGTTAAGTAGATACTTGACTATGGTCTATTCGATGCAGTTCATCGATCAGATTGGTATCACAATCATTCAACTCATTCATTTCCAATGGAAGAGAGTTTAGCATACTCAAGATATTTCCAGACAATATATAACGTTTCCGAACAATTATTTATGATCAATGAACTTTCAGAAGTCACCAAATGCAACCTTCAACACCTGTGTCTGATCTGAATGTTTTCTTCTAAGATCGTCTTGCCTCAAAATATCCAAACACTAACTCAGGCGAATTGAGCTCTCAATGCCTTGACTACATCACCAGATATGCCAAAAGAAATCTGGAGCACCTTATCAGAGATTGGCGTGGATGTATTGAACAGAGTATTCGGCAGACGGACCAGCCCTGCGTTGGAGCTGCTGAATCCGCCAAGTGCCGTCACGGTCTTGTACTTGTCGTTGTTGATCTGGAAATGAACGAGGCCTTTGGGAAAAGCGAAGATGTCGCCCTTGTAGAGAGTGTTGGTGAAAAGTTTGTTCGTGGTATCGACCAAACCCACGTCCAGAGTGCCTTCGATAATGAACAAAAGTTCCGTTCCACGAGGGTGAGTGTGGGGCGGGTTCACGGTGCCAGGTGGAAACTGAAGCAAAGCCATGGAAACACCGAGTCCATCGACTGCGAGAAATGGAGTCTTTGCTGGAGCAACCAGATTAGCTGTGGTGACAGTTGCAAAAGGTGAAGCCACGTTGGGCGTGACGTTCCTCAAGGCCTCGCTGGTGAAGAACGTTCCATCGATATCGGCTGCATTGATTCCTGCTGGGACCTGGAAATCCTTCGTGAGTTCTGGATCAGAGGCCTGCACGGACTGCAGGGTCAGAGCAACTACAATGAAAACTAGCAGAGCGAATGAAGAGTGTAGTAAACGACCCATTCTATCGGATGGTGATAAAATGCTGAAGATAATCTGTGCCTAAAACTCTGAAGATTTCGAAGAGTGTGAAACTGCTGCAGCCACTCGCTGAGCTTGAAAGCTTTTTTTCGAAATTTTGTGAAACACAGATTGGTGTTTCAGAGCTAGATTTCACTCTAGATATGAGAAAGTGGCTTGCTTCCTCAGAAATGATAGCGCGTCTTTATACTAGCACAAGACTATTCTTCTGATCCATGGTCTCGCAGTAGAATTGCATCAATCAAGACCCAAGGTGCACTGTTCATTTCACATTGCATCAAAATTATGTCCATTGGTACCTGCATCAGCATAGTGCAAGAATAGGTTGACAAGTTCGTTGCGCTGACAAGTTCTACTTGGGACGCTCTTTCTTAATGTAAAGAATTTAAGTAAAACGAAGTCTTGAGGAGAGACCGAGACCAAGATCTCAGAGATTCCGCAATACCCTAAGGTACAGGAGTGTTTTCCTGTGGCCAGCTCAGAGTTATGGAAGATTGTTACAGCGTGACAGACATCCCTGTTCAAGTGTTAAGCGTGACAGAAATCCCCGTGCCAAGGTCAGCTTGTAATTTTAATCTATTTAGATAGACTTTTATCACGCATGTAGTGAATTGATATTACGTTAAGGGAATTATTAGAAAGAAACCAACATTGAATAATATTTTTATCACCTTATTTTTGATAGATGACCAGATCAGTTATAGATCCAGATAATGGAATAGTATGTTATTTGTTATCGTTGTGGACCAGGTACACTTCACTCGGAGATCACACCATCGTCTGCTCAAGACTTCCATACGACTCTTTCTTTCAACAAAAACATGTTCCGCGCCAAGTAAACATGTATTGAAATGGGTATCGACCTCAATTTATGGTATATCTTATGTAACTTCAGCATACTTTATCTACCAGGCCAGAAAATACGGCTTTTTCTATGATTCATTACTAATTGAGCAAGAAGTTTTAGCTCTTGGACTCTAGATGCCATAGGTTATAATGTTGTGACCTGAAACGATCATGTAACCAGTTTTCTCCAGTGAAATTTAGCTTTCATTCATTGATCTGATCGTGGATACAAGTGTTTATATCAAGGAAAAAATTGTGATTTCCACGAGACGCCTGTCCAAGAAGATAAAGCGATTTTAAGATGTCGTAGAAGTGGTTGGAGGCTGGAGCAGATGTGAAGGATCCCATTAGCTGATTCTTCTGGGTCTGATTTTCAGTACGTTGTACTCAGCTCTCAGCATTTGAAAGGTCAATCAGGACTCATGAAATATATTTTGTTTCCACTGAAGTAAAGGGCAACAATCAGTAGGTCCATGTCTATATTTTTCCAATCGATCCAAAGCTAACGAAATATTTCCCTTCAAGAAACTATCACTTCATGAGTAATAATAGCCTATCCAAATCGCTGTCGTCTTGCAAATATTATACTTCACCACACTAGACCAGAGATATCTATCACGCTGTAACAATCTTCCATGACTCGGAGCTGGCCAAGGGAAATGTGTTGAAAAAAACTCCTCTACCTTAGGGTATTGCGGAATCTCTGAAATCTTGTCTCGGTCTCTCTTCAAGACTTCGTTTTATTGAAATTCTTTACAATAAGAAAGAGCGTCCCAAGTAGAACTTGTCAAGGCAACGAACTTGTCAACCTATTATTGCACTATGCTGATGCAGGTACCAATGGACATGATTTTGATGCATTGTGAAATGAACAGTGCACCTTGGGTCTTGTTTGATGCATTTCTACTGCGAGACCATGGATTAGACGAATGGTCTTGTGCTAGTATAAAGACGCGCTATCATTTCCGAGGAAGCAAGCCACTTTCTCATATCTAGAGTGATGATCTAGTCCTGAAACACAAATCTGTGTTTCACAAAATTCCAAAAAAAGCTTTCAATCTCAGCAAGAGGCTGCAGCATTTTCATACTCTTCGAAATCTTCAGAGGTTTAGGCACAGATTATCTTCAGCAGTTTATCACCCTCCGATAGAATGGGTCGTTTACTACACTCTTCATTCGCTCTGCTAGTTTTCATTGCAGTTGCTCTGACCCTGCAGTCCGTGCAGGCCTCTGATCCAGAACTCACGAAGGATTTTCAGGTCCCAGCAGGAATCAATGCAGCCGATATCGATGGAACGTTCTTCACCAGCGAGGCCTTGAGGAACGTCATGCCCAACGTGGCTTCACCTTTTGCAACTGTCACCACAGCTAATCTGGTTGCACCAGCAAAGGCTCCATTTCTCGCAGTCGATGGACTCGGTGTTTCCATGGCTTTGCTTCAGTTTCCTCCTGGCACCGTGAACCCGCCCCATACTCACCCTCGTGGAACGGAACTTTTGTTCATTATCGAAGGCACTCTGGACGTGGGTTTGGTCGATACCACGAACAAACTTTTCACCAACACTCTCTACAAGGGCGACATCTTCGCTTTTCCCAAAGGCCTCGTTCATTTCCAGATCAACAACGACAAGTACAAGACCGTGACGGCACTTGGCGGATTCAGCAGCTCCAACGCAGGGCTGGTCCGTCTGCCGAATACTCTGTTCAATACATCCACGCCAATCTCTGATAAGGTGCTCCAGATTTCTTTTGGCATATCTGGTGATGTAGTCAAGGCATTGAGAGCTCAATTCGCTTGAGTTAGTGTTTGGATATTTTGAGGCAAGACGATCTTAGAAGAAAACATTCAGATTAGAGACAGGTGTTGAAGGTTGCATTGGTGACTTCTGAAATTTCATGAAATTCAAACAAGTAATTTCAGATTCCTATACGGTCTGGAAATATCTTGGGTATGATCAGATCTCTTCCGTTGCTCTACGTACCACGTTTACCAGTTTCTACACAACAAGCGTAGTGAAAAAGCTGAAGAGCCTACATCGAGGATGAATTATAGAGTTAGGCGTGTCACTGTCATATTTACCTAAATTTGAACTTTTTATTTCTCAGTGGACACGCGCATTCATATGGGGGATTTCATTTATAAAAGTGTCTGCAATCAAAACACCTGGACTGAATACTTGAATGAGGAACTTGTGCTATAAGCAATGCTTTGTGAAGAAATAGTGTAGTAACTCATTCTGAATAGTTCCTAATGTCTCTTCGGATTTGAGATTTCTTGCTGTTTAAGATTAAAGTTTCTTATATTATAATTTATGCCTTTGATAGATCATACATATTTATATATATATATATATATATATATTTTTGGAAGTAGCAACATGCCTTTTGCGCTTAAGTAAGTCGTATTACATTGTTTTCAAAGCAATCAAGAATTTCTCAGCGAGTTAAACAAGCAAATGAATGAAAACAACCGATAATGAAAAATTTAATATACTTCTTGATATTTAAATCAAATGACATAATTTACATTTTAGTTTAGTTTTTGTGATAGTTTCATGATCATTCCTGTATGATTATCAAAATGAGACATAAATGGTACATATTTGATTTACAACATCGCATAATATCATACAAGTATTTTCATTTATGCATGAAATTTTTCTGTGATCTTAATGTTGTCTTATTCATACATACTTCTAATTTTAACATATAACAAATAATTTGAGCTTAGTAATGTCTTCAAATAGGTCAAAAACTAAGCATCATAAGCAGAAGTAATATTCGAAAAGCCATCTCTCATACTCAAAAGTTTTATAAAGCTTCCAATAGAACATAAGTATGTCTCTATCCAATCCAAGTCAATTGCAACATAAATCAATGCCTCTCGATCCATCCTTCATAGGTATGTATCCTCCCATACCGTAAAATAGATCACACTCATAAAAACAGGATGTGTATCTAATCTCAATACTGGAAATGATTCAATGGCATATGAGTTGTTCTTCATCAAATAGTTACAAAAGCATTCACGCTAGAAAATGCAGAAGGATAGTTGAAATCAGATAAGAAACCCTCTGTTGGAATAAAAAGTTGTTTATTCAGCTTTATATACTCTAGTGTTGTTAATTGTGAATGAGAAAAAATTTTTAAATATGTATGAAGACTTAAAAATAATTTGAAATTCAAATTTAAAAGATATCTGAAATTCAGAATTGAATTTTTATGCATATAGTTTTCAAAAATAACATCCATATAATTTTCTATCTCTAATCTAATTGATATTTTTAAATCAATAAAAATAAGTTAATTTACAGAAATTGCTTTCCTAGCAAAATATATTCATTTACATGGAAAATTTTTTATTCATTTTATTAGCTTGTGCCATCAAAAAATCTTTCGCATTTTCATAACATTAGTTTAACTAGTTTAGCACTAGTGTTTTCCACTTCTCCATAGTTATCTCTATGTGATGAAGATGATCATTTGTACCACTTTTGAGATTTATGCTACATATAAGTTTTCTATTATCTATCAAAGAGAAATACCTCTCCATTCTATGAATATGAGCAAGATTTAAATACTTCAGAAAGGCCTTCAAGCCTCTTCCTTGATTATTGACTTTCCTAGTTGTGACAATTTAGCTTTATTCTTATATATATCAAATGTTTGTATCTTTTATTATGTTGTTGACTATATTACTGTATCGAACCAATGAGAAGCAAACCATTTTGTCTATTGCAGATTTAAATATTTTAATTTGTAAGGCTCCAAGGTCATGCTTCACCAAGTACATCATCCGCCTCCAATACCTAGGTTTTTTTGCATATCAATGCGCGAGTTAACTATTTTTCAAAATTCTTTTCATCCAAACACTACGTGAGGGTGATGATAGCATTTAGCCTTGCCATATTTCATGTTAGCTGAAATTAAAATGCCTTCGCTGCCTCTTGACGATTCCTCCTTCTTGTTGTTTGTAAGTTTCTTCGTTTAGCCATATATTTATCTATATGAGATAAAGAGAAGATGTAGATGACGTGTCTTGTTGTGATGCTTGAAATTTTTTAGGGTTCAAGGTTTAAGATTTGTCAGGCACTTTCTTTTTTCTTTCTTTTTTTGCATTTTAGGTATGTCTACTC